GGCTTTACTGACCAGGTGAGGGGATCTCATCTAGTAATATCAATAGTGACCTATACATGACTATAACTTTCCTTTTAAAGTAAATTTCTTCAGGGCCAACCAATTTGAGCATTGGAGTAGAGAAATTCACCAAGGTAACCCAGAACCAAACACAGGTAATTGACTACAATCCCAACAATTGGATTGATTTCTAAAACTAGCATAGGATCATGCCTATGATAGAAAAATATTTGATTTTTTTTTTTAATTTAATTAATTTATTTTTTTTTCTTATCACAACCATAGAAATATTTGATTTATATGTAAAGGTCCAAGAAGTCAAGAAAACATTATAAATGATTATACAAATCAGGTCTAGCATCTTGGGCAAGCTGTTTATTTCTGATGTCTTTTTCTTGTCCTGGTGTAGTGCAGTTTCTCCTCTGATAAATATGTCCTTCCCTCCAGGTTGGAGACAGTCCCTTAAATTATGTCTTTTTCCAGTCCTGTTTGTGGGTTGTGAGGCATCTGATCTTTGTCCAAAGGTAGGTTACTAAAATAAGCTTCAGAAACAAATTTAGGGTATCTTTTAATAATTCAATTAAATTTTAAATTAATATGGCAACCCACTCCAATACTCTTGCCTGGAAAATTCTATGGACTGAGGAGCCTGGTAGGCTACAGTCCATGGGGTCACAAAAGTCGAACACGACTGAGCAACTTCACTTTCACTTTCACTTAACAGCAAAGAACTATCCAGGAAATGAGTCTTAGTAGATAAAGAACTTTATTAACAAACTGGGATTTAACATTCATTGAAACATCCTTTTCTCCCTAAAATCACCCTCGTTTTTACCAAATATAACCAAATTAAGACTAGTTTGTTTGTGAAATAGGTCTGGTCTCAATAAACTTGGCCTGATGATATATATAACCATAACTAATCACAGAGTTTTTACTTTGCTGAAACTTTTATAGAGTCTCAGGCTGAACTTTCAAAACAAAACCTTTCAGGGCTAGGAAAGTCTTGCCAAAGGCTTATCACAGATTTCACCTAACACATCTATGTGAATTCCTCTCGTTTCAAGGTCTTAAAAATTCCTTGAGATTTCTGTACTTGTTAGTGACATAACTTTCTAACTTATCTGATAAAGTTACTGGAAACCTAAGAGTTTCCAATCTCTGGAGGGGTCAGGTAGACAAGATAAATGTTTCCATCTGTTTATAAAGTATAATTTTACCAAATTATTGTCATAATTAGTTTGAGGGGAAGGTTTTCCCTACTCCCAGAAAACACAGAGTCAAACCCAGAACTTTTCAGATAGAAACCGTAAAAGTTATAAGCATATTTACCAGTTCAGTTCTTCTGTTAACCTTTGTAAAGTCATCAGGTTTCTCCTTAGAATACCAGAACATGTCAGAATTTTAGGAAATCCATATAATTTCTAGGATATCTATGTTAGTAATATTTACCATATAATATAACCTGAGAGGATTTATTACTCATTTGATAATATTTCCCATGTAATTTAACCAACCAAATAAACCCCCCCCCAATTAATTTAATATCTCTCTTTGGGATGTTTCAGGGGCCCTTTGAAGCATCCCAAAGGTAGCTAGAGGTCAAAAGAACTTTAATAGAATTTGATTTAGGAAATTTTGTCCAAAAAAATCAAAAGGGTTTAGAACATTCAGTCAGATCTAGCCAAAGCTGATAGGTGTGTCACTTAGCCTGCATATCTTACAATGGGTGTACATAAAGAGGCTCAAAGTCTAGTCAAAGTCAATTCCACCATCTTGGACCTAGTTGGTTTTAACCAGTTTTCCTATGACTGAGTCATTCCTAATGAAATCCATTTACCCAATGAATTTTAATCCAGTTTTAGAAAATCCTGATCATGTATAACTCTTTTCAGTAATTTTTTTATATCTTCTTCTACTGAAAACCCATCTTAGTTTCCCTAAAGTATTTTCCACAATGAGGTACATTTCTGGTTGACAAATTTGTAACAGAATACAGTCTTATTTGACATCTAGTAAACCTAGGTACAACAGAAGTATTATTGATGGTTTGAAAAACCAGGTATTAACTTAATACTGAATATTTCCCAGTTCACATGAATCTGGAATTCATTTAGCTTAATTTAGAATTGTTTGCTTTGTAAAAACTTATATTTTTTAAGCCAATTAAATAGAACTCATTTACAAATTAATCTCAAAAATATTATCCAGATACAAAGACATACCAAGACAGACACATATTCAGACAGACACAATAGGAGATCTAGCTTCGCTTTCTAAATTTAGTTGTAAATTAGATATTACAGTATAAAATTTACTAGTTTATAAAAAATAATTGGAATAAATAAAATTTTTAAAGTCTTCTTCCCATTTTTCCTCAGTCTCAGGAGTTAGAGATGGTCTACATAAGTGTTCCTCAGAGCTCTGGTCTCAAAGCACAGGGAAAGAAAATCAAGTTCTAACAAAATGGCAGAAGGCCTAAACCAAATGGTGGCCACACAAAGCCAAATGGCCATCACAAATTACAACACAGAAGACAGAGTATAAAACACATACATAGACCTGGCAGTCCTAATCAGACACTTCCTTAAATACAAGATTACAATCTCTCAGTAAACATCCTGTAGAGACATAGAACTTCAGACCCAAGTACTAACAGAGTAAATGAAAATATCTCAGTTCTTCCAAAGGGAGAAAAGGAAGCCAGGTTGAAAGAAGAGGGGATGAGGTGGGAGAGGGGGCAAAATGGGTGAACTATCTGATATCTCTTGCCACCTGCAGATATCCAGGCATTAAGGGACTTTACCCTGAGCCTCCAGAAAAGGGAAGACTGGAATTCAGCCCTGCCAGAAACCAGACCAGACCAGAACAGAACCAGAATTCCAGTTCTCTGCCAAGAGGAGGTGATCAGCCTCTGATCCTCAGCTCAGGCTGAGGCCCTTCAACCAGATCCTGCCTCCAAGACCAGGGGACTAGAAAAAAAGGGTAGGATGGGAAAGGTTAAGGAGAGGAAAGCGAGAGGGGAGGTGAGAGAGGTCAATAAAGTCTCTCATTCCTTACCCAGCCTGGGCACTCTGGCTAGTTGTCTGCATCAGGAGGAGACCAGGGACAAAATGGTCCCAGTTGAGGTCACTGGTCTGGTCCATCAGCAGGCAAGCTAGTCCCCAAGTACCCCAAGTGATCAGGATGTCAGTCGCTGCAAAGAAGAGAATCGCCATTTGTAGCAGGAAGGGGGACACCCCTCCCCCTCAATCAGGGTCCAAGACCGTGCTCTTAGTCTAACACTCAGAAATGAACTGTCCGAGAAGACACATGTGCTGACAAAGCAAGAGATTTTATTGGGACAGGAACCCGGGGTGGAGAGCAGTAGGGTAAGGGAAACCAGGAGAGATGCTCTGCTTGCAATCTCATGTTTTATGGTGATGGGATTAGTTTCTGGGTTGTCTTTGCCCAATCATTCTGACTCAGAGTCCTTCCTGGTGGTGCACGCATTGTTCAGCCAAGATGGATGTCAGCAAGAAGGATTCTGGGAGGTGGGCAGACACGTGGTGCCTCCTTTTAGGAAACACAGAAGAGTTTCCCAAACTCTTCCCGTTGGTGGTAGCTTATTAGGTCCATGTTCCATACAAGGACCTCCCGTGGTAAAACAACTCATGCACATGGTTACCATGGTGCCTGGCCAGGGTGGGCAGTTTCAGTCAGTGTGCTTCCCCAACACATTCACACCTCCCACTCTCTTCCCTGCAACAGGAGAACCTCAAAGGGGGAAGGTGAGGGAAAGTGGGCAATCATTTCTCTATCTTCTCTCAGCTGCAGTGCCCACACACTCAACTGAAGCGCCTCAAATGAGACCACTATGAGGCCTGTTGCAGACTCCCAACAGCACCAAAGATTTCTGAGGGCCAGGAATAACAGAGCCAAGGAGCTGGGAACAGGAGGCGTCTCTTGAGAATACACTCCCTGCCAAAGAAAAGACGCCTCTTCTGCTCTTGAAGCAGCATTAGATTGACCGTAGGCTTTGTTGTTACAAGATGCGCTAAACCACCCCCCTCCAAGGGTTAGTTGCTCAGCCACTTCAGAGTCTTAGCAATCCCATAAACTGGGGTCCCATCAAGCTCCTCTGGCCGTGTAATTCTCCAGGTAAGAACACTAGAGTGGGTTGCCATTCCCTTCTCCAAGGGAATCTCCCCGACCCAGGGATCAAACCCTGGTCTCCTGCATTGCAGGCAGATTCTTTACCGGCTGAGCCACCAGGGAAGTCAAACCTCTCAGACAAAGGTCAGTTTTTTGCCTGCCTTATGAAATGGGAGCTGGGGACTGAACAGACTAGGTCAATGCAACTAAAGTAATGCACTCTTTCTTGCACACGCTGCTCTCCAGTATTTGGGCAGATTCTGGTTCTCGGAGGTCTGAAAGGACCTGCTGCAGATGAAGCAGTTGGAGGAAGGGGCGGTGTCTTCCTTATTCATGTTACTCTGTGTCCCTGCGATGCTGGTGCACTGAATGCTAGGAAGAGGTGGCAGTTCCAATTTTTCACTTTAAAACTTTATAGGTCGTGCAAAAATACTAAACATAAGATGCAGAAGGGCGCAACTCCTCCCCAGGACAACCCCAGCGGGTGAGGCAGGCTCGCGCTCCAGAGAGCCGCGCCTGCGCACTACGGACCCTGAAGCAAGGGCTATCTGAGGGAGGTGGGCGGGGCTGCCCGGCCATCCGGGTTCCCTCACTCCGCCCCCGCTGCATGAATGAGAGGCGCGGCGCCCGCCCCTCCCCCGCTGGGCCCGCCCCTCGCCGGGGCTGTGGCGCGCCGTCTGCAGCTGCCACCTCAGCCGCGCTCGGTTCAGCCAGACGCCCTCTGCTTACTGCCCGGAGCTGACGGTCCCAGCACGCTTGCCGCCGCTGCCCTCACGACAGAGTAAGTGAGCAAGCGAGGGTTGGGCCGCTGAGCACTGTCGCCCCCTGGTTTGGGGCGTAAGGGACCGGGCAGGTCCGGGTTCGGGATGCTGAGGAGACCGTGGGCCCGCGCCAGCCTCCCCCACTCACACTCCCGGCGCCTCGGCCGGGAGCTGGGACGGGTAGGACAGCGGCCCTGGGCCGGGAGGGGCGCGGAAAAGGGTCCGCGCACGAACAGGAGGGTGAGTCCCGCACAAAGGGAGGCGCGGAGCTGTCACCGGGAGACCACAGAGATAAGGTTCGCGGCGCCCTGTGCGCCCAGCTAGCCCGTGACCCGCGTCTTGTCCCCGGGCGTGGGAGCTGCTGGGATGTGCCCGGAGCGAGGACGAGGATGGCGAAGACGGCTGCCTCCCTGTTGGCCGTGGGAACGCGCCTTGGGGGGGCGCGGCGTGGCAGTGTTTTCCTGGTCCCCGTCTGCTCCTCCCCTTTCTTTGTGGCGTCTATCTCATGCCCGTTTGTCACTGGGTATAAGCTATGGTCTGGGATGAGACCTCTTGCCTCTCTTACTCATTAATGAAAGTCAGGTGCTGGCCTCATATTTGTGAGTGGGGGGCCGTGTGTGCTTCCACAGGCCAGAGAATTAAGGCCCCTCTTTTGTTTCCAGAGACTTAATGGTTTGTCTTTGACCTCCGAAATGAGCGAGTCGGAGATCATTTAAAGTGGATGAGGAAAAAAAGACATATTACTTCATCAGATCTTCAGCCAATTCTGTCTCTGGCATTCTTTCAAACAGTATTTCTTTGTTTCTTGCGGCAAAACCAGTGGGTTTTGTTAATTAAAATATGTGTTTATATTCTCAATATATGTCTATATTCTCAGTATATCCAGAACAGTTGCTTTCCGGGTGTTGGTAAGTGGTCGTATACTCATGTATATGTACATGAGAATAGTACATATAGAACACTGCTTTTTAGTTAATTGGTTGTTACGTCTGTATATTGATATACGTTGTCTATAGAAACGCCCCAGTATATCTAGGACACTTTTTTAGGCTCCTCAGTACAGGCAGATTTTGTTTCTTCCTGCCTCCCTGTGTTAATAAGAAGGTGGTCCAGCAGGTTCTCTCCGCCTCATTGCTTTTTTTTTCCCCCGTAATTCTTTGGCAAAGGGTTTTATTGCATATTTCCCTGGCATGCGCCCTTGCTTTGATCTGAATTTTCCTGTGCTCTGTTGTATGGTTGTGCAGCCCCAGCTCAGTGGCACCTCTTACAGGACTATTGGAAAACAGAACACCTTTTTTTATTTTTTTTTTTTTTGTCCTCCTCCCCAGAGAGAGGAGGAAGCTCTGCAGTTTCCCACAGACTTTGGCTCTGTGGGGACTGACTGCCTGACTTTGTTGTCTCGGTGAAGTTATGAGGAGTCACAGTTGATATGGACCAATTAAAAAGATGCAGTTATAATAGCACCAGCTATTCCTTGCTGTTTCACTTGGACCTTTTTCTCTCTTAAACTAGATCTTATAAGTTTTAGAAGATATTTGGTTGCATTTGCTGTTTCTTTTTTGTACCCTTATAATTTTGCAGAGTGACAGGAAATTAACTAAACTTAGTGGTTGTAAGAAACATAGCTCCAAATATTAATATATTTTTGTTATGATCTTTTGATTCAAAATAGAAGCAGTAAAAAAAAAGTGAGGAGCTAATTAGAGGATATGAATAGTTGAATTGATTCAGTTTTAAGATTCCCTTTAAGGTTATTTTTAATAACATATTTTAGTTCCTGGTAGTTTTTGGTGCAAAATGAAATCAAAACTAAGCAGTCTTCCATAGCATCTGTTTATGTATATTCCCTCTGTTGCAAACATTTGCTTTTAATTTGAAAGAGAAATTTTCCATTTGGTTGGAACAGGATCCATTATTCTTGGTAAAAATCTTACCTTATGTTAGCATAATCAAATTCTTTCTTTGTAAAAGTTAAAATTAATAAAAGTTGATTTTTCAATTTGAAATTTTGGTTTTATGATGTCAGATTTAAATAAAATTTTTATGAATTTAACTCAAAATAAGGCAACTTATAAATGAGTGCTTCATTAATTACATTAACTAGTGTCACTAATACTGAAGCAACCCAAATAACTTATGAATTGCCTGCATAAGATTTTTCTTTTTTAGGAAGCCTTTTGAAACAAATCATAAGGGGAAGTCTTAAATAAACAGCATAGTGTAACCGGAATTATCACTGAAATAGGCTTGCATAGTACTACAATATTGTGCAACTTTAATTTTGCAAGCATGACTTAACTATTGTTTGTACCAACAAAGGAAACTAAAAACATCCTGGCCTTGTTATTCAGCATTCTGTTAATCAAAATCTTTACCAGTCCATAGTTTTGCATTTTTGTAGGATGATTGAAGAAAAATTCCAAAGTAATATCTATATTGTCAAAATAGGTTACGAGCTGTTTTATTAATAAATATAATCTTTACATTCATTAGAAATACTAATATTGTTATGTTAGTGATAGTAATAGTATATATGGTGACACTTTGTTACCCAAACTGGGATACATTATCCTCCCAGCATTCTGTCAGTAATTGTTTTCTGGGAATTCCCTGGTGGTCCAGTGATTAGGACTCTGCTTACACTACAGTGGGCACGGATTGATCCTTGGTGGGGGAACTAAGATCCTACATGCTGTGCAGCCAAATACTAATTGTTTTCTGTTTCAAATGGCAGTTTATGCTAAAGTTAGTAATAATCTTATCATAATGTATTATTCAGTTCAGTTCAGTCACTCAGTCGTGTCCGACTCTTTGCGACCCCATGAATCACAGCACGCCAGGCCTCCCTGTCCATCACCAACTCCCGGAGTTTACTCAAACTCATGTCCATCGAGTTGGTGATGCCATCCAGCCATCTCTATCCTCTGTCATCCCCTTCTCCTCCTGCCCCCAATCCCTCCCAGCATCAGGGTCTTTTTCAATGAGTCAACTCTTCACATGAGGTGGCCAAAGTATTGGAGTTTCAGCTTCAGCATCAGTCCTTCCAATGAACACCCAGGACTGATCTCCTTTAGGATGAACTGGTCGGATCTCCTTGCAGTCCAAGGGACTCTCAAGAGTCTTCTCCAACACCATAGTTCAAAAGCATCAATTTTCCGGTGCTCAGCTTTCTTCACAGTCCAACTCTCACATTCATACATAACCACTGGAAAATCCATAGCCTTGACTAGACGGATCGTTACAAAAGTAATTGCAGATTTGCATTGTTGAATGCAAATTGCCATTTGATATTGGAATACATTCTTAAATAAATGTGGTTATGTTAGACTATAGCAATGATGTCAGACAAAAAGCAAATTCCAGCAATTTTTTTTTTATTGGAGTTCAAAATGGGTCATAAAGCAGCAGAGACAACTCGCAGCATCAACAACGCATTTGGCCCAGAAACTGCTAACAAACATACAGTGCAGTAGTGATTCAAGAAGTTTTGCAAAGGAGACAGAGCTTTGAAGATGAGGAGCGCAGTGGCTGGCCATTGGAAGTTGACAACAACCAACTGAGAGCAATCATCAAAGCTGATCCTTTTACAACTACATGAGAAGTTGCTAAAGAACTCAACATCAACCGTTTTACAGTCATTCTGCATTTGAAGCAAATTGGAGAGGTGAAAAAGCTCAATAAGTGGGTGCCTCATGAGCTGACTGAAAATCAAAAAAATCATCATGTTAAAGTGTAGTCTTCTCTTATCCTATGCAACAACAAGGAACCATTTCTCGATCAGATTATAATGTGTGATGAAAAGTGGATTTTATATGACAACCAGCTCAGTGGTTGGACCGAGAAGAAGCTCCAAAGCACTTCCCAAAGCCAAACTTGCACCCAGAAAAGGTCATAGTCATTGTTTGGTGGTCTGCTGCCCATCTGATCAACTACAGCTTTCTGAATCCCAGCAAAGCCATTACATCTGAGAAGTATGCTCAGCAAATCAATGAGATGCACTGAAAACTGCAATGCCTGCAGCTGGCATTGGTCAACAGAATGGGCCCAGTTCTCCTCCACAACACCACCTGACCACATGTCATACAACCAAAGCTTCAGAATTTGAATGAATTGGGCTATGAAGTTTTGCCTCAAATGCCATATTCACCTGACCTCTTGCCAACTGACCACCACTTCTTCAAGCATCTCAACAACTTTTTCCAGGGACGATGCTTCTACAACCAGCAGGAGGCAGAAAATACTTTCCAAAAGTTCATCGAATCCCGAAGCACAGATTTTTACACAGCAGGAATAAAAAAACTTTTTTCTTGTTGACAAAAATGTATTGATTGTAATGGTTCCTATTTTGATTAATAAAGATGTGTTTGAGCCTAGTTATAATGATTTAAAATTCACAGTCTGAAACCACAACTACTTTTGCACTAACCTAATAGCAGCTTAAACTATATGAAATTGCCATTTTTTTTTTTTTTTAGATTGGGGAGTTATCAAAAATCAGTGGTTTCATATGGTTCAATTATTTTGAATTCTTAGCAGTTCTTTCTAGCATTTACCTTTATATTTATTTCATTTTCAATGTTTAAACTGCAATTCCTTGATTGTCTACCTTTGTATATTATCCATGGAGTTCTAGTTTGGAAGTTGAGTACTTAATTGTTCCACATAACCATCCTTCTATCCCCCACTCATATCTGTGCTTTACAGTTATCAGTTAAGTCAGTTTTCAGTATTTATAAGACTGTGGCAGTGTATCTATAATTCACAGATGAGCCGTATTGGATACGTATTACCTATTATGTTTCTTTCTTGTACAACTTTATTTCTCCTGAGTTAAATAATTGCCACTTTTGTTTGTTTTTCATTTGCCTAGTTTTCTTTTTTTTTTTTGCCTAGTTTTCTTTTTACCAGTCACAAATTCTCCTCAAATTTTATGACAGAAATGATCATCTTTCAATATATTCAGATAATCTGTTTCATTTCTATTTCCTAGCTGTCGTATAGGACCTCCCTTCTTATCTTCTTGTGACTTCTCTTTGCTTTCCTCCTATGTTGCATCCTTGATTTCCTGGATCCTGTGTCTTCCTTATTCTTTAGTAGCTTCCTGAGAAAGAACATCTACAAACTCTGAAATTTCTTCCTGAATTCAGAAGCTGCATATCTGAAATGTCTTCATTTTACCCTCACACTTGAACGGGTGGCTTCACTGGATATTGAATTCTAGATTGAAAATTAGTGTCTGTCTCTTGAAGGCTTCCAGTTGTAATCCCCATTCTCTTTTCCTCCCACTCTGAAAGAC